AAATGGGTTTTGGGTTTGTTTGGGTTGAATGGGTTTTGGGTAGTTGGTGGGCTTGGTTTTCTTTGGGTTTTGAGTTTTGGGTAGTTGGCAGGGTTTCGGTTTTGATAATTTAGTGGGCTCAATTGAAATGGGTTGGTGTTGGGTTTGTGAATTAATCTTGATGAACTTCACCCCTCTAACTTTTGATTTCTTCAACTAAGTCCTTCCTATTATCTTCTTTTCCATCCTCTTCGCAAAATCCCTTTTTTACCCATAAACTAACAAGAGAAAACAAAGGCCAACATATTAGTTAAAATATAAAAATAAAACTAGAATACAAATAAAATTCTATTAAAATTTTGTGTTATGACACAGTCGAATGCATTGTCTTAAGTTGACGATGAAAAACAGAGCACGTCCTGAAGCATATTGTTGTTGGAGTACATAGTACAATTGATAATCCCCCTAGGAATATTGTTGTTGGATTTGGTGATAATAGTGGCCTATCCATCTTTAAATGTGTTGGTTCCAAAATTGGAAGACGTTGTTTGACGATAGAGGAACCCAAAGCTGCTTCATATTATGTGTTAATAATTGCGAAGAATTGCGAGGATAGGTTAGGTAAAAAACCTATACTAAAATCTTTAATTTGTTATATTAAGATTTATTGAAGTTAAAATACTAACAATATATAAAAAACTATTATCATATTTTCTAGTTTATTTTAGAGAGAACAATGTCAAAATATGAATCCTCAACAAATTCAAACAAAATGAGAGAGACACCTTATACCCTGGTTTGAACAAGCTGTGAGTATTTAATAATATAACTATTCAATTCCTTAACATATATATGTTATTTCTCTTCAAATGCATGTAACATTTTCTTCTGCAATCTATATATTTTAGGTAATTAGTGATGAGTTCATTAATGTCCATGAGCATATCAAAGGTTTATCCAATTGTCCAAAAAATTATGTTTCTTACTATAATGGATATATTGTTAATGGATTCCGATTTCACACTGCCCTCTATGTTAGAAATAAGCAAACAATGAATTATGGTGTCTGTGTTGTCGGATCTATTGGTACTGAATTAGATTATGATTTTTATGGTGTGCTTCAAGAAATAATTCAGATTGAGTATTATGGATCAATCCATCGACAGGCAGTTGTTTTATTCAAATGTGATTGGTACAAGATTCCTCCTACTCAAGGGGCTCAAAGGGTTCAAGTGGATCAAAAACATCGATTGGTTGACATTAATTTTAGAAGATACCTTCAATCTTATGAGCCTTTCATTCTTGCTAGTCAGGCAAGGCAAGTTTATTACACACCATACCCATCTATTAATCATGAAAGAACGGGATGGATTGCTACACTTAAAATTAAAGCTAGGAGTATCATTGAGGCTCCTAAGAATAAATATGACCAATAAGAAGGATTGACACCATATTTCCAAGACGATGAGCCTCATATTCCTCAATAAATAAATATTGATGACATTGCTTATGAACCTATGCAATATTTTGATGGGAGGTTTATTGAAATACATGAAGAAGCTGATGTTGGGGAGGGATTGGGGAAGAGGATGAAGAAGGAGAATGGGAAGATTTTGAGATATCAAAAGAAGAAAACATAGAAACATATGTTGAGGAGAATGATAGTAGTGATGAGTAGGCAATAATATTGAAACTATTGAAACTATTGAAACTTATTATTATATTTATGGTTACTACTTGCTTGTTTGTACTTTTATAATTATATTAGTTGTATTATATGTTATTTAATCTAAAATTGTATAACGTTAATATTACTTTCAAGTTAATATTTGCTTATTTATACTTCTGTAATTGTATTAGTTG